CAGTTCCGCTGCCAAAGGGGGTGGAGGGTCCGGGCTCCAAAGGGGGTGGAGGGTCCGGGCTCCCGGCCGAGCAGCGGAGAGCAGCGGGTGGGGGTGCGGCTTTCACCTGCTCCCTGTGGCCCCCACTCCTGGCACCAGGGGAGGCGGATGTGGGCCCTGGAAGTGTCAAGCAGCAGCCATCCAGCTGACGGAGCAGCTTCAGGGTTCCGGCATTTCCCACCACAGGCAGGTCTGTGCTGAGCCTCCAACCCAGGAGGCACGGCGGTCAAGGGCGTCAGGACCCTCCGGTCCGACTCCCAGAGCACCGCGCAGGCCCACGCCAGGAGCAGACCCATCCGTCCCGGTCAGTCCTGCCGCCCAGCCGTCTGCCCGAGCTTATTCAGAGGGAGCGGTCACACATCACCGCCACAGAGTCCAGAACGCTGCGGCGGAGCCACTGGCCCCGCCCGTGAGCCCCGTGTGGCCCCGCCCTCCCATACCCTGGGGTGGCATGTGGGTGTGGAGCCGGCCCCGCTGTGGCCTGGAGAGGGGGTGGCTGCCTCGGCTGCTGATGCTTCTTCGTCAAGGAACGGGGCCGTGGGAGGACCCAGGGTCAGGCCGGGCCTGGGGAGCTGGGAGCTTCCTGTCCGGTGCGTCACCATGACAGCGTGAGGACAGCCCGCAGAGCACCCGCAGCCGTGGGCTCCAGCGGGGAAACCGAGGCTCGGAGACAGGGAGGGGCCCGCCGGGGCCGGGCACAGAGTCCTACAGGTTCCGTGGCCCGAGGTGGCTGTTCTGTGACTGTGGGCAGCCGCTCCCGTCTGTGTCGCAGTGCGTCCTGGGTCAGCAGCGGAGAAGCGGTGGCGCTCGGACACCCACTCCCCATGGCCCATGTGGTCAGGAACCAGGGCTCCGCCCGCAGCTGGCACAGAAGGCTCAGCACAGGGACCCGCGTGGCCGGCCCAGGCCCGAGAACCCCCACTCAGCGTCCGCGCCAGCCCGCCCAAGCGGCCCCCCACCAGTGACCCCAGAGCTGCGGGACGCCTTGCTGCTGAGAGTGCCCAGCACACGTGACGGTTCCTGGTGGCCCCGTCGCCCAGCGGCCCCGGCTGGAGGGCTCACGTGTGACAAAGCAAACCTGCGAGGGCTGCCCCGAGGCTGCTGAGAGATCAGCCCTCACGGCGGCATCTGATCCCATCACGATCCAGGGAAGCTGCTGTTCTCCAAACCCACATCCTCCCCGAGCTTGACAAGATTCTGGGCTCCTCAATGCCAAGGGCGGGAGCGAACCCCCGTGTCCACGCTTCCTCCTCGCACCTCGCCCTTGACGTCTCCCGGGACCCTCAGCCCAGCAGCCACGGCTGGACCGGCCGGCACTTGCTGTGGCTTCAGCACAGATGCCACTGAGTGCTCACGCTCCTGGGGGGACACAGCCCCCGCCCCCCAGGCTGGCAGATCCCCCACCGGAGGTGCCAGGCTCCCAGGGAGCCACCGGGTGGCTTCCCGTGTCCCTGTGCACAGCCACTTTCAGCCCAGATCAGAGGGCACGGCCCCAGGGAAGCCGTCAGGGTGGCAGGGCGGGGCCTGGCCTGGGTCAGAGGGCCCCTGGCTCCTCGCTCTGCGTGCGCCTCTCCCGATAGGCAGCCGGGAGCCGGGAACTGCCGGCAGCTGCAGGGAGCAGTGCCCGCCACCTCCGCATAAAACAGTCACAGGAACCTCCAAACAGCACTGCCGCCTCCCTGTCAGCGGCCCTGGGGACGGAGCTAAAAATAGGCAGGAGCTTGAAGAAGTGCTGACAAGGGGGGAGGCGGGAGGCAGGGGGAGAGGAGAGGCGGGGGAGGGGAGAGGCAGGGGGGAGGGGAGGTGGGGGGAGGGGAGGTGGGTGGAGGGGGCGGCAGAGGGAGAGGGGGGGTGGCAGGGGGGAGGGGAGAGGCAGGGGGAAGAGGAGGCAGGGGAGGAGGGAGGCGGGGGAGGGGGGGGAAATGGGGGAGGAGAGGTGGGGGGATGGGAGAGGCAGGGGGAAGGGAGGTGGGGGAGAGGAGGCGGGGGGAAGGGGAAAGCAGGGGGAGGAGAGAGGCAGGGGGAGGGGAGGTGGGAAAGAGGCGGGGGGAGGGAAGGTAGGGGAAGGGGGGAAGCAGGGGGAGGGGAGAGGCAGGGGGAGGGGAGAGGCACCGGGGAGGGGAGGTGGGGGGAGGGGAGGCTGGCGCTCAGGCCCAGAGCACATGACGACACTCCCCCCGGGAGGCAGCTGGGCTGAAACGAAACCCCTCTCGGGGGGACCCTCCTCCCACAGAAGCTGTTTCTATCAGCACCGCGGCCCAGGCCCTCAGCGAAGGCAAAGGTGGCCGTTAACCGGTGAGGATGTGGTGAGGATGGGCACCTCCGCTGGCCCCTGGAACCGAGGCTTCGGTCACCTTCCTTCAAGCAGATGTCGCTCCCCATCCCCTTCCTCCTATCCCCGTGCCCAGCACCCTCCTCCCCACAGGCCGGGAGCCCCGTCCAGGCGTCCACAGGGGGCCCAGGCCAGGGCTGCTCTGGCTCCGTGAAGGGCACGGGTCCCCCCAGAGGCCCCGACCACAGGCGCTCCACGGGGGCCAGACCCTGGGGCGCAGGCCCTCCCCGAGCCCACAGCCTGCGAGCCTCTTGGCGGGGCCCTGCCTCCGCCAGCTGAGTTCTGGGGGTGCTGGGGAGCGGTCGTGGCGGGGTCACCTCCCTACTGGGCTGTGGTGGGCACGGCAGACCTGGTCAGAGGAACTGTCAATCATTCACTCGGCAGGAGCCTTTTCAAAATGAGACATCACCCCTTGGCTCTCTCCGGTTTGCCCACTTGGGGACCTGGTGTCCTGGGGGCGCAGGTGCCTGACTGCCCGCCCCCCCCAGCCCTCGTGTCTGTGCTCCTTCCACTGGCCGGCTCCTGGTCCCCCACTCCAGGCCCGACTGAGTGCCCTCTTCTCCCTCCCCCCATACTTGTAACGGTATGAACGTTACAAGTGTCCCCCAAACACCCCCCCCCCCCGCTTTCCCTTTGCCCCTATCACGCTCTACTCTCCCCCGTAGTGACTGCCTCTTCCTCGTGGGCTACGCTCCAGAGGAGGGTGCGGGAAGACAGTGTGGAGCAGCTGACATAAATCAGCTCATGGGGCCCGGCCCCCCTCCACCGCGTGGCCCACGGGAAGCACCTGCCCGAGATCACAGAGCAGGACTCTGAGCCTGACAGCAGGGCAGGCCCATCGAGGCGGGAGGCTGGGACGGAGGGACCTGCGGCTGCCGCTCCGACTGTCCGCGAGGAAGCCAGTCTGGCCGTCATGCTGGGCCAGAGCGGATTCTGAACTGACGCGCACACGCTAGTCCACGGCGGGAAGGAGCCCCGGTGCGGGAAGGCCCCCCCCCGGAGGAAACATGGAGAAAGAGTGGAGGAGCTGGCTCCATGACCACCTGCTCGAGGCTGTGCAGGCAGAAGAGCACACGCAAAGGCCCTGGGGCAGAGGAGTTTGGGGCTGAGGAGCAGAGGCGGCCGGGTGGACCAGCCCAGGCCCGGGGCTGCTCAGGTGGCAGAGGGGACGAGTCTGATTTGTTTTAACAAACTGGACGGCTGAGAGTAGAGGCGGATGGAGCGGGCAGGAGGGCGGGCGGCTCGGGGCTGGGCACAGGGCCTGCGGAGAGCAGGTGCGGGCCGAGAGCAGAGAGCAGCCAGCGGATCCCGGGCACGAGGCGCGGACACAGGAGGGTTCTCGGGGAAGTAAGACCTCAGTGTGGCTGAGTCGGGTGTGAGACGCCTGCAGAGGCCCAGTGGAGAGAGGCAGAGCTGGCAAAGCCGAGTGGGAAGGGACAGGGCGGGGCCTGCGGGAGCCTCATGCTGGGGGGGGCTGAGGGGTGGCCGGGTGAGTCATTCCAAAGGCAGGGCGAGGCCGGCGAGATGAAGATGGGGACGGGGACGTCCTTGGATGTGGCCACCCTGCTGAGCCAGAGGCCGGAGGCCTGGGAGGAAGAGGTCCAGGACCCTGTGTGGCGGGACTGAGCACCAGGATGGAGGGGCCGGGGCAGCCTTGCACACAGTAGGACGCATGCATTTTCAGAGCTCTCCCACTAAGTGCCAAGACCGTTCCAGGCCTAGTGGCCCATCAGGAGCAAACCAGTCCCAGCTCGGGGGGAGACTGAGCACACAGGACGGGGGCCGGGCTCCAGAGGAAGCAGGCGGTATGGGAGCGGGGGACGGCGTGCTGGATGGGTGTCCTCTGAGGAGGGGACAGTGGGGCTCCGGTGGGGCGGGGAGTGGGCTGGGGGCGGCAGGATGTTAGGTACACGCACCGGGACCCAGCGGCTCTCAGCAGGGAAGGGACCCAATGGCACAGCTGAGCCGTCCCCTGTGCTGAGGCAGGAGGGCGTGGGCAGAGGCTGTGGTGCCCGGTGCCACCAGACAGGCAGGAGGTGTGAGGGGTGGAGCCTGGGCTGTGGGCTCAGGGACTCAGCTGCCCACGCGGACTGGGCTGGGAGCGTCGGGGGGAAGTCATTAGGGGCCCAGGAGCCCAGCCTCTGTTCAGATAAACAACCCCAGCGAGCCCCACCCGCCCCAGCACCCAGCGGGTCCCCATCGGCCCATCTGCAGCCTCAGGTGAGGTGAGCGGCCAGAGACTGTCAGCCCAGTGCAGCCCAGACCCCCCGGGAGGAACCAAATGGCCTATAACTGGTGAGAAACCACACCATGGACAAGCTCGGCTGCCCCGTCTCTCTGTGTACCCGGCAGAGCCCAGCCAGGCGCGAGGCAGCGCGGGGTTGGGGGGTGGGGGGTCCCCTGCCTGAGAGCCTGGGGGGGGTCCTCCCTCCAACACATGTGCTGGGCAGGTGTCCTTAACACGGAGTTACCCCCGAGAGGAGCCCAAGCGGGGGCGCAGGAAGGGGCCTCCCTCTGGGGGCCCTGGCAGCTGACCTGCACCCAGCCAGGCGCTGGCTCGGCCCCGCTGCCCGGAACGGGCTCGCGTGGCTCAGTTTCCCGGAGCCCAGGGAGGGCGAGGGGCACTCACCAGGAGCTGGGGCACCGGCAGCGACCGGCCGTCCTGGCTCAGGGACACGTAGGTGAAGAAGGCGCTGGCGGCCCGGTAGCGCCGCTGTGTGTTGTCCACCACGGGGTCGGCGTCCACCAGGACCTCGATCTCCATGGACTTATTGCTCGTGAAGGTCATGCGCCCCGAGATGGTGATGACGCAGCCTGCGGAGGGGACAGCGTTAGGGGGCGGGACAGTGGGAGGAGGACGCTGAGACACTGGTTAGGACGCTGAGACACAGGCCGCTCTGACCGCTAGGACGGTCACACGGCACACGTTAGCACCGCGCTCACCCGCGGCAGGACACCGGTCTCACTCAGGGGAGAAGTTCGAGTGCGTCCTGGGCCCCCCCAGCGCCTGCGAGGCAGTGTGTGCGGGGGCAGGGGTGCCTCCCCACTCCTGCCCCTCAGGGCAAGCCCCGCCCACCTGTGGGTGCTGGCTCCGCCCTGAAGGCTAAGGCCAAGTCTGCAATCAGCACTGTCCACGCGGTGGCCTGTGTGCCCACTGGAGGCCCAGGGCTGCTCCCCACGCTGCTCTGAGCCCTGCTAGGTGCTGCTCCTCCACATCCCTCAGCAGCCCCCTCCCGGCTGCCAGGTCCCAGTGCCGGTCTGAACGCTCATGCAGTGGGTCGGGCCAAGCTGCCACACTGACCCGAGTCCTGCCTCCCTGACTGCCTGTGCCAGCCCCGCACACAGCCGCCCGCGTCCAGGCAGGACCTGCGGCCTCCCGAGAGGACACCTGCTCAGGGGCTCGGCCTCACCCTCCCTCGGTCTCCCCCGTAGACTATGACTGAGTCGAAGTCACGTGGCCCCATAACCGTACCGGGTCCTCTCCCCCTCATCCCCACCGACGCCTCCACACCGCCCAGGCCCTGGCTCACGAGCATCCACCTGGCAGGCGCTTCTGCCCCCCTGCCTCCGGGCCACGAGCTCCCCTCTCCCCTAATCCCTGCCCCTCACGGAGAGCCCCCGTGGGGACCACATGAGCGGGCCAATGTTGGGCCTCGGGCCTGGCGTGGCAGGGGGAGGCGCTGGCACAGCCACGACCACCTAATGGGCTCAGGACCATGCAGCAGCACTAGTCCTCGGGACACCTGCCCCTGCCTCCCCCTGTGGGGCCGGTCCCCCCCCCACCCCCCATGGCCTCCCGCTGGTCCGGCTCAAGGAGATGCCTGCAGAGTGGCTGCACTGCTGGGACCTGCTCCCCGAGAGCAGTGCCGGCTGTGGGGCCCCTCAGGGTCCCCCCTGCAGACATGTTTAGAGACCCCACCAGACAGACAGGTCGGGCAGTGGGGCGACTGTTAGGGGAGTGAGCGGGCTACAAGCAGAGCAGTTATTCCAGGTTATAAAGTTCCAGAACATTCCATGCCACATTCCACGGCATACTTACAGGGAGCTCTGTGGGTCGGGCACAGCCATTTCTGGGGAAGGAAGGCCACGTGGTCAACGACGGTGGCATTGGGTGGGGGACAAGGGGACAGGCACACCCGGGACGTCCTGGTGACGGCCAGACTGGGACTGGTCAGCCAGGCCCCGGCCCCGAGGACCCGCCCAGTTCCCAGCCGCCCGCAGCCAGACCCGCCAGAGCCCGGCTTCCAGAGGGCCGAGGCCCAGCTCCTCTGAAGGGACGTGGCTGGGGCTGCGCTGAGTGTTCTCTGCCTTTAGGAGGCAATCCATTCTGCTCCTAAGTGGCACGTTGGGCGACCGGGTCTCGTGACAGCAGCGTGGGGACGCTGACACTCGGGGCCCAGCATACGGAGGACCGACCGTGAGGCTGTGCTCAGTGTCTGTCGGGGCTGCGGCCAGGCGGAGGGCGGACGCGGCCTCGTTCACACCTGTGGTGAAGGCCCCGGAGCGCGGCCAGCCCTCCCCCCCCCCCCCGCCCCGGGCCCAGACCACAATGGGCACCCATCTCGCTGGGCTTGGGGAGGGAACGTCCGGGCCCGGCGGTGAGTGGGGTGAGGGTGAGAGCCAGGTATGGGGGCTGCGCCTGAACCCTCGCCAGTTTCTGTCTCTCAGTCACTGCTGAGCTGCCCGCAGTGCACAGCCGGGCAGCTGGCAGTGCCCACCGCTCCCTCAGCGGGGTGCCAGGGTTGGAAAAAGCAAACAGAATAAAAAACTCCTCTCACCAGGACCGAGAAGTTGCCAGATATTTCAAATGTTAAGAGCAGCTCAGGTTTAAGCTCTGAACAGCCAGGGCTGTGCACTTTCTTAAAAGGCACGGAGACAGCGTGTCTCTTACTGACACTCCCAGCGCCCTTTCTAGAAGGCTCTGCGTTCCCATCTGCAGAGACCATTCTCCACAAGAAAATGCAGTTTTAGGTTCCCGCTCCCAAGGCTTCCTAACCGCCCTGCTTTCTCCTCGCCCGCTCTCCCCGCGGCCTTGGCATGTCAGCGTCTCCATTAACAAACGCAGAAACGGCAGCTGGCCTGTAGGAGCGCAGGACGTGTGTGTGGAGACCTCGGCCCGTGGAACTGGACAAAACGCACAATTCTGTGCCTGAGGCGGTGCGGCCGGGCACTGCCAGCGCTGAGCCCTCCACGTGGACGTGACCGAGAACAGAGCTGTGGTGCAGACCAGAGCCCACCCCTCTGGGCCGTCCCTCGGGGACACAACAAACACGGCGTGACAGGCCCAACGGCCCTGGACCATGCCCAGAAACAGGCAGGGTCCGCTGCCATGTTAGCTCTGCCCCAATTCCTCCGACAGAACAAGCCAGGGCCCGAGAAACAGACGGGCCCTGCTCCCCGAGGGCCCCAAGGGGCCAGGCCCCACCTCCCCCTCAGCGCCTGGAGGGACCCTTCCTCGGGGGACGTCTGCCCGCCTCTGGCTGCTGCCAGAAAAGACCCTTCCTCCGCGTTTGGACAGAGGAGCTCTGAGAAACGGGAGTCTGTACGCAGACCCCATGCCGGCTGCCCTGGGCCCAGACCGCTGAGCTGATGCCCAGACACGGCTCCTCTGACTGGAGTTGCCGGGTGGTTCTGTGGAGCCTGGAGCCCGACCCCCCGGGAGTCGTTCTGGACCGAGCGGCGTGGGCCCTTCCTGCCTTCACCCCCCCGTGGCCATGGAGGACGAGCCAAGGACCAGGCTCGCTCGCTCTCTCGGGGCAGATCCCTTTCCGGAAGCCCCGAGTCCCAGGCAGCAGCCTAACTCGCTCTCGATGCCGCCAGCCAGGGGAGGAGACCTCTACCCTTCCCGTTGCCACCCTAGTGCCCTCCAGCTTCAGGGCGAGCACCCAGGGTCGGGAGGCCTCCGCGGCTCGGACAAGGCCTCGCTCCGGCCCACGGGCTGTTTTCACGGCGAGGCTCTTTCAAATCAACGCAGCCTGACCCCACTGGACCCGTGAGGCTCCTTCTCGGGGCGCAGGCCTCACCCCAGGAGACACAGGACAGAACGGACACGAGTCGGGAGGGGACACTCGCTGCTCGTCTTCATGCAGCACGTGAGCCGGGCCGGGGACCTGCGCCCGCACAGCCCCGGGCTCCTCTGCACCGACCCTGCCGCTCACCCACCAGCGCCTGCTCCTCCGGGCCAGGCCACAGGGAGCCCACATCTCCGGCCGCCTCCGCCGGTGGCGCTTTAAGAGCCGAGCTCCTGCCGCTCCAGCGGGACGAGGGCTCCCCACTCCGGAGGGACGGGTTCACCGGACTGAGCTGTTCCGGCGAACCCTGGGCTCAGAGCTGCCCCCGCACAGGGCGGACAGAGCGTGGGGCTGGCCGCCTGCCTCCGGGCGAATGGCAGACCCTGGCCGGGCCACTCTGGGTGAAGCAGAAGCGAAGGCGCCGGACGCGGGCCCCCGCGGCGGCGTTACCTTTCCTGATCTTGTCGTGGAAGTTGATGGCGTCCACGGAGGCGGTGACGATGTTGGTCTTGCAGTGCCGCGCAGCCACGATGCCGGCCACCTCGTCCATGAGCTTCATGGTGACGCCTGCGGGGAGAGGCGTGTGACCGTGAGCCGGGCAGGAGCTGCTCCCCCCGGAACACATGTGAACACGGAGCCCTCCCCTCCCCCCTCGGGGGCTGCAGGGGGCTGGGGCCGGCAGGGTGGGGGCAGGGACCGTGAAGCTCCCTCAGGAGCTTTATAAGATTGCTTTTAAATGTTTTTATTGATTTTACAAAGAGGAAGGGAGAGGGAGAGCAAGATAAAAACACTGATGAGAGAGGAACATCGATGGGCTGCCTCCTGCATGCCCCTACTGGAGATCCAGTCTGCAACCCGGGCAAGTGCCCCGACTAGGAATGGAACTGGGGACCTCCTGATACTTGGGACGATGCTCAACCACTAAGCAACAACGGCTGGGCCTTCAGGAGCCTCTGATAATGACCCAGCTGAGGTTCTAGGTCAATTCCAAAGCCAGTCCCTTTCCCCGCCCTCTCCAGACATCCCCTGCCAGGAGGGTTTCCTTCGGGGGGCCGAGAGCTGGGAGACGCAGTGGAGTGACGAGCTGCTGGGGATGGACAGTGGTGCCGCTGCAGCCACGGGGAGGCGAGGGGGAGTCCCAAAGGCTGGTTCCCTCCCCACAGGCAGCGTTCCACTCCCCAGCGCCCCGAGAGCGGGAAGCATGTCCCACCTGCGTGCAGATCGAGTGACAGCTCTCACACAGCCAGACAGGGATGTCCCCCACTGATGTGGGGACAAAGGACTGAGCCATCACACAACCAAAACAGACAAGAACTGACACGCTGCAACACGGATGAACCTGAACACACGACGCTGAGTGAGAAAAGCCAGGCACAAAGGCCAGACACTGCGTGACTCCATGTCTGCGAAGTGCCCGGGACAGGCAGGTCCAGAGACAGGAAGTGGATCGTGGTGCCAGGGGCTGGGGACCGGGGCAGCGCGGAGGGAGTGGGAAGTGGGGAAGGCCTGCTCATGGGTACGAGTGTCTCTGTGGGGACATGACGATGTTCTAAGCGGCGTGTGGTGGCAGCGCAGTGACTGCACTAAAACCAGTGACGTGCAGTGTGACTTGGAAGGTCTGTGAGTTCCACCTCCCAAAGCCCTTCTAGAAACAGCCAGAAAGGCAGGCGGCGGTGCTCTGCCGCCCTGTTTGACAGAAGCCCGACAGCACACCTCTGGCGCCCCCCCCCCCCCCCCCCCCGCCTTGCACCCAGCACAGCTCAGCAGTGCGCGCTTTCTTATTCCCCTCAACACGCCCTTCGGTTGAGCTGAGACTGCTGCCCTAGGAAAGCAGCAAAGGCCACTGATCAGCCCACAGCCACCAGGACAGAGGTTCCAGTCGAGAGGCAGCCAGCCCGCCCCCCCCCCCCCCCCCGGAAAGCTGGCTCCCGGGGAGGCTGGGAGGGGCCTGGCAGACAAACCCCCACCCCTGGGACGAGGCCGAGCCTCCAGCCTGGGCTCGGCAAGCTTGGGGGAACTGCCAGTTTTCAGACATCGGACCCGTGATACCTCTTCCCGATGGGACAGACCACGTCACGGAGCCCGGAGCCCGGAGCCCGTGCTCCGGGCCGGCGGCCGAGCGCAGAGCCTCACAGGCCCCGGGAGCCGCCGCTTCCCAGCAACGAGGAGGCGGCGGCTGCTCTCCTCGCCGCGCCCGCACACCTGAGCATTTCCAGATCAAAGGGTGTTTGTAATGCGTGTCCTTGACTTTAAAAAAATAGGTTTCCACTGCCACGACTCCCATGGAAGGAGCCACTGAGGACCACGCACTCGGACGGTGGGAGGGTGAAGGGCCAGCATCCCCACTCTCCCCACTGACAGCCAGCTCAGGCCCCAGGCCCCTCTGCAGGGCGCGCAGTGGGCCTGCCGGAGGGGGAGGGGGCTGGCCCGCCGGGCAGCAGCGGGCGGCATGGTGCTGCTCCGTGTATCACAGCGGGCGCCGGAGGCCCAGAGGCCCGGGTCCAAAGCCACAGAGCTCTGGGGCTCGGGCAGCATTCCTGTCTGCGACTACAGAAATGGACCTCAAGCCCGTGGCGATGAGGGCAGCACATGGTGTGCGGGGGGGGGGGGGGGGGGGGGGGGGGGCAGGCGGCAGCTCCAGCCACCAGGAGGCGTCATGGAGGAGGCATCATGGACTGGGGGTCTATTAGGCAGGAAGGAGGCGAGGAGAGGAAAGGAAGGAACACGGGGTTGGAATGGACGTTTAGGACAGAAAGCACAAGGACCCTCTGTTGCTGGAGGCAGCCCAGTGAGGACAGAGGGGTGAGCGGAGGAGTCAGAACCAGCCCTGGGAGCTGGGGTGTCGCCCATTTACAGGGGGCATTGCTGTTACTGAGAACACGCAGGGCCGAGGGTGCGGGAGCCATGAGCAGCCCCGGGCCGGCACCCAGGCCCCGCACCCAAGCCCTGCACCCAGGCCCTGCACCCAGGCCCCGCACCCAGGCCCCGTACCCAGGCCCGTACTCAGGCCCGTACCCAGGCCCTGTACCCAGGCCCGTACCCAGGCCCGTACCCAGGCCAGCACCACGTGTGACAGAAGCCCTCTGAGGCCAACCCTGAGCCCTCCGTGGGGTGAGCCCTGGAACCCACCGCGATCACCCGTTGGCCGTGGGAACTGGCGGCGGAGGCTCAGACCTGCTCCTGGGCGCTGCGCTCACGGGTCCCGGGAAGAAAACAAGCCTGCGTGGCCACGACATATGGACAGACATGGCACCAAAGGGTTCCGGACCTCACAGCCGACAGCCAACCGCACCTCCGGGTTTGTGTTGTGAAGCATCCACCGCGCTGAGGGCCTATGGAGGCTCTTCCCTCCCGGCCCGCTGGCTGGTGGTGACCCGCCCTGCCCCAAATGTTAATTCTGGCCGGAGTGTGGGGCCGCCTCGGAGGTGGAGGGAACGCAGTAAGTGCAGCCATGGCGACGAGCCCCGCGGTGACAGCCGCCTCCGGAGACCTCTGGCCTCCCTCCCAGCTGCACACGGGCCTGCGGGCACCTCAGCGCCCGGACGGAGGGCAGAGGACACGGAGGTGGTTAACAGAGATGACTTTGGGCCATTGACAGGCAGCGCGGTGAGGATGGTAGGTATCTAAGCTCATTCCGTCAAAAGCGGGACGTCTGAGGCCGGCAGGCCCAGTGCGTGCGAGGAGAGTGGCGGCCATGGGGAGGAGGGAGGAGGGAGGTGCCTCGGCTGCGGGGGGGCCCAGAGGCACCGGGGCAGATGGAGCTTGGGTGGAGCAGAGGAAGCAGAAAAGCCGTGGGCATGTTCAGAGAAACAGAGTCAGAGGTGACTAAAGGGAGGCCGTGGTGTGGGAGCCAACACTGACCTGGCTGTGGGGGGTCAGGGAGGGGAGTCCCCAGGTGGGACCAGGACGCAGTGAGGGTGGGGAGGCGGGCGGGTGGTAGGGCTGAGGGCTCAGCATGCACAGGCTGTATGTGGTCGTGAGGACCTGCCGGGGATCGGTGGGGACCACGGGAACGGGGGCCGGGGGCACCACCCCGCCTGGCACATGGCTGTGTGTGGAGCATCTATAGCATGGCTGACGGGGCGGGCACACGCGGCCACACTGAGCTCGGCAGCACCGCCCACACCGCGTCACCACGGCTGCTGTGGCTCGGCGCTGGCTGTGGACGTGGCAGCAGCTGGGATTTCTGACGGGAGAGGCCCAGGCTGGAGGAGGGGGGAGGAGCAGCTGTGTTCCGTCAGAAGCCATCTGGACCAGTTCCATAGAACACTGGGGTTTAAAATAATTTAAAATAGAAAATGACGTGCCGAAGAAATAGCCAAGGCTGAGAAAGCTCAGGAGGGGGAATTCCATTGACATTGGAGTCCACGGGGCCAACCCCTAGGAAGCCCCCGCCCCCCTGCGGGGCCGGCCAGGCCACTGGACTTGGGAGCGGGTGTGTCTCTGCTCGTCCTCAGCTGGCTCCGAGCAGGGACTGCCCGCCCCATGGGCACAGCCTGGAGGCCAGGCCGGGGAGCCAGAGGGAAGCCCGGCACCAGGGGCAGCCCGGGGCCACAGCAGTGCGGACGCTCAAGACAGTGAACCCGGCACAGATACCATGGCAAACCCCACCTTTTACCAAATGACTGAAAAGTGACGTTTCACGGGAGTTAAAATATAAGACATAAAAGCACATTTGAAAACAAACATACCTACAAACAAAGACGAGAAAAAACGGTTTGTCTATTTCAGGCGAGTTATTTTAAGTATTATTCACCCCGCAGGCTGCTACCTTGCTGGATTCTCACATTATCTGAGTTAATTTTACACCGGGACCCGGTTCTCCGGGTGTGTGTGCCATCTGCGAAGGCAGACAGCCTTGCTCCTGTCTGCCAATCCCTGCACCTGGCAATGCTTCCTCTTGTTTGGCTGCAGCGGCTAAGTAGCCACAACAATGCCTCCCGGGGAGGGGGGCTGCCTCACTCCTGGGCTCGGGGAAGGTCCTCCCAGGCCTCGGATGTCTCAATTGAGTCCCATCCTCAGTGCGTGTGTCATGGGGGATGGGGTCTGGGTGAACCTGTGGGTGTGGACTGCTGCGTGTGCCTAGCCCACCCTCATGCCCGGTCCCTCAGCCCTGCAGCTCCGGGGAGGGAGCAGGGGAACGCGGCCTTGAGGAGCTGAGCCAGAGCCCTCAGAGGAGGAAGGAACCCCGACCAGTTCACCCAGAGGGCAGACGCCAGAGCCAAGCTGGCACCTGTGGTTTCCAGCCACGCAGCACTGCTAACACCTGTGTGTGTGTGTGTGTGTGCATGTGTACGTGGCAGGGTAGGAACTAGGCCTCAAAATCAACGATTCAAAGTGTGAAAGTCACAGAAAACAGGGCCCGGGGGTCACCAAAGCACAATCACTGAAAAGCCAGTGGCACCCCCAACACCTCCTCCCCCACCCCCTGCCCCCTCCCCCTGCCGCCGGCACTCACTGCGCCTGCACGGAGCAGACAGCTCGGCGTGGCCTCTGCACCAGCACGTGCGATGGCGGAGATGCCACTTGCGTGAACGCCCAACGTGTGGGCGACACAGCAATTCCAGCCCCGAGTTCCGCCCGGTCAGGTGCTGCCTCTGAGTCCCAGAAGCCGGGGCTTCTGATAGGGGAGGGACAGAGGGCTTCTGAAGCCACCGCTGCACGAGCCATGCTGCACCCAGCAGAAAGGCCCTCTGATTGTCACAACATCCACGGGCCTGGGAAGAACTGTTGGTTATAATAGACAGCTGCCCAGACCAGAGCTCAGGGCACCACAGCCAGCATCTCGTTGGAAGAGGAAACAATCACAAGATGGAAAAAGTAGACAAGAGGATCCGTTGAAAGGAAATGACCTTTAGAAATACACCTAGTCAGGGCCATCCTCAGTTCTGACAGGCCAGGGCCCACTGTCCCAGCTCCTCACCTCTTCTTCATGGAGCAACCCGAGCGCATGTGCCTCTCTCACTACGCGAGGCCCAGGAGCCAATACGATGAATAAAATAAATATCAATACACTCCTGCAGCATGGGCCATTTGCACTGGGTTTTGAAGGATGAATAGGAGTTTTCAGAGAGGAGAAGAAAGGAAAGCCCAGCGTTCCGGGCAGGTGGAAATGAGAGGGCAGATGAACAAGTGCCCATTCTGCCTGGGAAGCAGGACTAGCTCCGAACACCCGAGCAGCCCAGCTTCCGGCACCCACACACCACGCCACAGTCCGCCATCGTCTGTGTCACTTCCTGATCCCCTTATGCTTTTCCTTAAATAAGCTTGTTTTTTAAAGTTTACTTTAATGCCATCTGAAATGATAATACCCATTAACTTAGGTGCTTGATGTGATACTTAAATTTTCCCTAAATCACAAAAAGTAATTACACATGATCAAGTAACAAATTCCCTCCGAAAACCTGGGTCTAATAAGTCCTCTTGTGTTCCCGCCGTGTTTCCCCAGCTAGGAACTTCAAGGCGTGTGTTGTTTGAGCTGGAATCTGATCAGAGGAAAACATAAATGCAAACATCAGCGGCAGGAACGGCTCTCATTGGCCACTCAGCTAGGGCGTCCTGACTCTACTCCTGAGGATTGGGCGTCCCCTCAAGGCCCGCCCTGGGCTAACTCTGTTAGGACACTCCATCTGACTTTCATTCCCAATCCTGCAAGCAGGCACCAACAGTGCCTCAGTGTTTGCTATGCAAGTCCTAAAGTCTGCATGTGCGCTTCACCGAACAAAGAGCCTCAACTGGGTCAGACACGAGGGCCTGGCGGGAAGGGGGTGGCGCCAGCCCGGGACCCTTACCTCCGTGCACGAAGCCGTGCAGCGTGCAGTCCGAAGGCCCCACCAGGTGGATCAGGCTGGACTGGCTGTAGCTGACCGTGTTCGGCTCTGGAATGGAAGGAGGCAGGTCAGGCCGGGACAGACAGGCCCCGGCGGACGTGTGACCGGGCTGCCACACCCAGCGCGGCAGGGTCCCCGGGGCTGACCGAGGCTTAGACCTGGGGTCTCCGAGGAAAACAAGCTGCCGTTGGCGCAGGGGCAGGCTTTCGAGGACTGATCAGCCGCTCCGTTAGCGGCCACAACGTCACCCTCGGGGGACAGTGTCCCCACAAGGCCCTGCCCCGGCCACAGGCGGCCACTAAGCCCCTGGCGGCGTGTGCCAGGGCTGCATGTGACTCTGGGAGGATGCTCGCCGCCTGACTCATTGCCGGGATTGTAACGGCGCCAACAGTCTTTCAGGAATCTGTGTGTGACTCCCAAACGTGTCAGCTTCCACTTCACCCCGCACCACCTGGGCCTGGCGCCCGGGAGGCCTCGGCCCCGCTGGGAGGCCTCGGGCGGGAAGACCAGCATCGCTGAGCCAGGAGCCGGGGCAGAGGCAGAGGCCCGCCCGAGAGGCCCCGTTGGCAGCTTCCCGCCCAGCCGGCCTTCTGCCCGTGGGCAGAGTGGTCCTCGAGTGTGGGCAACTCCACCAGGGGGTGTGGGTATCATCAAAGGTCCCGGGAAAGGCATCGGTGTCCCCTGCGACAGTGGTCAGTGCAGCCGCCTGTGGCCTCGGCCTCAGGGTGTCCAGACAGCTGGGCTGGCGGCGGGCATGCTGGGCCTCAGGACAACATGGCACCCGCGGCCCAAGGAAAGGCCAGGGCTCTGCGAGGCCAGTTCCAATGTCACGTGTGTTGTGAGGGGCAGTGACAGTCCCTGCAGATGAGGGGCACCCAGTGCCACACCCACCTCCAGCCTCAGGGGCTGCGGGTGCCCGGACCCTGCCCGGCGACCGGGTGAAAGGGCACAGCCCAAGGAGCCAGGAGGCTGCCCGGACCATCAGAGAGCCCAGCCGGCGCTGCCAGCCCAGCAGCCGTGCCGACCCGTTCCCGGGGCCTGGCCCTCGGCCACGCGTGGGCCCACCTGTTGGCTCGGTCCCGCCCAGAAGGACAGGAAGGACAGGAAAGCAGCCACACACAGCCCCATCCTGAGGGCGTTCGTGCAGCAGGGGCTGTAAGGACTTGGGGCGCAGAGGCTGGAGGGGACACCATGACCTAGTTTGGTTCGGTGGACGTTCTGTTAAAGCAGGGCCACCTGGACGGGAAGGAGGAGGGACAGGAAGGAAGGCTGCGGCCCAGAGCTCTGTCCCCGACGTGAGGGAGCTGCTGTCTCTGTTACCCGGTGGGAATCACACACACACACACACATACACACACACACACACACACACACACACGCACGCACACACGCACACACAGAGCCGGTTCCTGGGTGGGCAGGGGAGCCCATGTGGGCACACGACAGCCACCGCCCCGGCGCCCGGTACCTGGGTTCAGGCCGGGCTGCACGATGTCCCCGTTCCTCCACTTGGTCTCCATGCGCTCCAGCTTCTGGGCCTCATAGCGCCGGCGGCCCTCCTCCTCCTGCTCCTGCCGCGAGTACTGCGGGGCGGACAGGGTCAGCGGCCGCCGCCACCCTCCCTCCTCTCCCGGCTCCCTCCTCTGACAGCACAGGGGTCCCTGCCTTCCTCTCACGCTCCCCCCGACATGGGGAGATACTGCATCTCCAACAGGAAGGCCCTGTCCACCCTGCTCCAGCGGGAGGGAAGGCTTCTCCTCGCCTGGCAGCCACTCAGCCAATGAGCAGCAGCCACACTGTGGCTCCCAGTTTCCCCAGTGGATTCTGTTTACAGCAGACCCCTGTCCCCCCCGCCCCCCCATAAAAGAGCCCGCCTCTCCTTTGTTCTCCGGACTGTGGGGGGCTCCCCATTAGACTGTATGTCCCAAATGGCCATTGTTTGCTGTGCCTGAGTAAACCAGTCTGGGGAGCAATGTCGAGCTGTCTGTCTGTCTGTCTGTCTAAAGTCAACAGGCGGAAGGACCCCCCACCAGGCATGGCCGTGACCGGCCTGTTGTCTGGTCAGAGTGGGATAAGGGCCCTGGGAGGAGTGCCCGGGGTCAGGGCCGCCACTCACACCCACCGGAGACAGGGACGCCCCCCCCCCCCCCCGGACGCCTGTCATCTGCCCATGAGAAACGCAGGGCCTCCTTACCACCACCGGGGGCACCTCCAGGACCTTGTCCACGTTCTTCAGCGACAGGGGCACGTACCACAGCGTGGCCTTGTTGGTCAGCTTTTTGGTGCCTTCGGAGAAGAAAGCCACGAGTGAGGGCGCCAGGACCGCCACCGTCTGACCCCTGACCCCCAAGACCTTCAGCCATGAGGTGCAGGCGTAGACCCCCAGGAGGGGACCCTCCCCACAATCCTGCCACTCGCAAAGGCTGCTGGGAAGACTCCAGATCACCTGGTTTGGGTGTGTGTGGGGGGACGAGAGGGGCCATGGGTTCCCCAGCTGTTGGCTTTCTGGCACTTGCTCACACAGAGGCCCCGAAACCAGACAGGCTGTCTCTGAAGGGGGTACACAGAGGGCAGAGTGGGGCTGCCCATTGCCGAGAAACTGGGGCCAAAAGAGAACTCTTGGTCCACCCCCCTCTCTTGTCCAGGAGGAGCCTGATGCTCAGAGAGGTCAACGCGTTTGCCCAGGGTCACACAGCAACTTAGTGCCATTCCGAGTTTAGACCTCGGCCTCCCGGGTCCCAGCAATTTCAGGGAAGTATTTGCAAGGATGCCTTTTTAAAAATTGCCTCTTATACTTGGCTGGGGTGGCTCAGTGGTTGAGCATCGATCTATTCCTGGACAGAGCACAGGCCTGGGTTGTGGGTTCCATCCCCAGGAGAGGGCATACAGGAGGCAGCTAGTCAGTGATTCTCTCTCATCACTGATGTTTCTCTTCTGCTCCCTCTCCCCTCCTCTCTGAAAGCAATACGTTGTTTTAATTGCCTCTCCGCGGGAGACCCAGCGAAGGGAGAGGCAGAGGTCAGCATGCGGGAGCCACAGGGAACAGGGGAATCTTGTCCCTGCACTTGGACAGAAAGTGAATCTGACAGCCTGCTTCTGGGAATTAAGACTTCCTGTCTGACTCAGCTAGAGCCCGCCTGACTAGCTGGTTTCCATGGAAACCCCGAGTGGCCCTCTTCTAGACCCAAATGAGCACCATGGAGCAAATGAGGCAAAACACACTAATCGCACTTTTCCCATCATTTAATGAAACCACCAAAGGCAGCCGCGGCCTCAGAGACGTCTGCGTCAGAATCCTGGGCGCTCCCTCCCAGCTCCTCTCTGGAGAGCCCACAGCCATCACCTGGGGAGCGGGATGTTGTGACAGGTGCCGCGACGGAGAGCCGCCCGCCCGCCCAGTGTGCCGCTCCAGCGCCTCCGACAGGCAGCGCCCGGGGGGAGGGACACAGGACGGGGTGAGAAACAGAGATCAAACAGCTCACATTCTGCCTGCCTGCCTCAGTTTCCCCACCTGTCAGAGCTCACCGCCCTGGCGGAGTTCCTGAGGGCCGGGCACCGTGCTGGGCGTCAGGGGCTGCGGGGGACGGGCGGCCACTGCCCTGTCCCTAGAGGGCTCCCACCCAGGGGGCGCATCCGGCCAGGGAGGCCCTGGGAGACCAGGGTCCCAGAAAAGAGATGCAACCCAACCCAAACATGGGGGCCCAGGCGGGCATAAGAAGGGGCGGCTCTTTAGTGGGTCCAGGGCCAGAGGCCCGGGACCTGGGGAAAGCCCCGCCGGCTCGGAGAGCTGGCAGTGCCGGCCTGGCTGAGAGGCTTCTCGCTCTCCTCTGCGGGCAGCTCCAGGCCTGAGTGCCATCTGCAGGTCGGGGACGGGAACGGGCGCAAAGGGTGGTGGCACCCTCCTCAGGCAGGGCTGTCTCCTCGCCCTCTCTGCCCTCACGCCAGCGAGGCTCCGTGCCACAGCTGGGACCCACAGAAAGGTTCCAGAGCCGCCTGCTGTGCGGGCTGGGCCGCTGGGCCCTGGCTCAGCGGAAGTGTCCGGCTCACTGTGGCCGGGCTTGCCCAGGCCACCATGCACAGTGCCCCCTGTGCTGCTGCCCTGGGGCGCAGCCTCCTGCCCCTCCCTGAGCTCTGAGCCCAGCGCCGCAGGCAGCCTCAGCGAGGGGGCTGTGCGAGGAGGGCGAAGCCCAGGCAGCCCCTCCTCCAGAACCGGAGGGCTCTCCGATGCCTGGGTGGGGGCGGGGGGGGGGGGGAGCAGCCAGGGGATGGAGGGGCCGTGTTCTCGGCAGCAGCCGGGCTATAAAAAGCAGCCGGTGCCAGTTAGAACCACAGCCATGCTCCCCTGCAGCGCCCAGTGGGAGGATGAAAACGGTTTCCATGGTTACCACACCCAGGAAGAGAATATTCGGATCAAACCAGAGTCAAAGGTCGCCCTGTGAGCTCCAGCCTAAACCTCTTGGGGCAGCGGAGGGGGGGAGAGCAAGAGGCGCAGGGGAGAGGCAGCAGAGGGAGGGGAGGGCACTTGTGGTTGGCATGAGCTGCCAGAGGCAGAGCGGGCAGGGCTCCACGCTAGACCTGGGCTCGCTGCCCACACAGGCGGTGCCCTCTCTGTGGCAGGGCACCTGCTCACTTTGTGGGGGTGTGAGGACCAGCCCCTCCCCCAGCACTGCCGTCACAGCCACACACACACACACACACACACACACACACACACACACTCACCTGTGAGGATGTTCTCGGACATCACGTGCACCTGCACCTCCACCGAGTGCTTGGAGGTGTAGGTGATCTCGGCGCTGACGTGCGCCACCTCGCCGATGCACACGGGCGACAGGAAGTCCGTGCGCTCCACCCGGGCCAGCACGGCCACGCAGCGCTCCTGCAAGACCAGACACCGTCAGCCCGCCGCGCCCCACCCCGAGGCGCGCCCCAAAACTGCCCCTAAATGCGACACAGGGAGGTGGAGACGCGCCCCGACCCTCCAGAGATGGCGCCGTAACCGCACGGGGGAGCTGCGACTGGCGTTGTCTTTTTCCCCAGTTTTCCTACAAAACACGTGTCACTCGCCTGATGGAGGTGAGAGGACACGCGTGCTTGTGTGGGAAACTCGGGGAGCAGACAGGGAGCCAGAGGAGGGAGCTGCTCCTCCCCACCGATGGCCGTTCCTATTTGGGGACCTTCCTGTCCTGGCTCTTCCCTGACAACAGGGGTTCGCTGGCTCCGGAGCCGGGACCGTCCTACAGCTTCCACCCTGAATGACTGTGAACCTAAACTGCACGCTCATGCCCTGCTTCTCTCAACAGCGGGAAGGACCTGCCGGGGACACACTCTCAGCACCAGTTCTTTTACTGAAGTGCACTCGTCTGGCAAGTGGCAGCCCAGCCTCATGCCCAAAGCTCAAAGGAACCAAGGCCCAGCCCCCGCGCTCCGGTGACCACGGCCAGGACGTCCTCGGGGCTACGGGGTCTACCCCCCCCCCAGGAAGCTCATCTCCTGGCACGAGGGGCTCCCTCTCTTTTCCAGGATCGCCTTTTCCCACTCGCCATGGCAGACAGAGCCCCGGCTGGCTGGACCGGAACCCCACCCGTTAGCTGTACATAGTTCAGTGAGGAGCATCCTTTGCCTGGTTTTCTGAGGTGGGGACTGCGTCCCGCGTGGGCGGACACACACAGTGACGTCCCCAGCACCGCTCAACAGCCGCAGCACCTGGCCTGGCCCTGCCCCGCGCTCACGACGCGAAGGACACCTGCGCCTGAGCGAGGCCGGGGGTCCTCGTGGCCACTCGGCACTGAGTGCCGGGCTCCCCACGGGAGAGCAGCCGCCCACCAGGAGCGGCCAGCAGCACGGGTCTGACTGGGGGGCGGGGGGAGCTGGCCCGTCAGGCCCTGGCCCTGCGAGGCTGGAGGTGGAGGCCTGCATCAGGCCTCAGCAAGGCAGGGATCAGGATGACAGCGAAAGGGCCATGCCTGCTGTCCCCACTCCGCCCACACACACAGACACACACAGACACACACACACACACAGCAGACACACACACACACACACAGCAGACACACACACACACACGCAAACACACACACAGCAGACACACACACACGCAAACACACACACAGCAGACACACACACACACACATAGACACACACACACACATAGACACACACACACATACACACACACACACACACACACACACACACACACACCCAGCAGCCCCTGGCAGTACAGCATGGCAAGGAACACAGGGAAATAAGTTCGTGTGGCTACAGCACCACCCACTGGTGGAAGGCTGGAAAGCAGCTCAGAGGCGCGGGCAGGAATGAGGCGCCAGCTTGCAGATGCCACACACATCAGTGTCTTTAGTGGGACCACTGGCTTCTCGCACACGTGGGCCAGGACAGACCTGAGCTTGTCTCCGTGGAGCAGGCACGGCGCTGCGTGGCGTGGACAGAGGAGGGAGGAGGTCATGACTTGGCCTGGGTGTTGGTTGGAGGCAACGCCACACGGCGTGGCTGCTCTGAGGAGGGTGGTGTGGGGTGGGGTAGCTTCAGACGGGGGGACGGTGAAGGCATAGGGTGGGCACCCGGCAGAGGGAGAGCAGGGCCCAGGCCGGGGCCTCTCTGGAGGCGTCGGGAGACTGAGCCCACACATGAGTGTGTGTGCTCCTCCCGGGACCAGCGCACGAGTGGGATGGCTCCTCTCAGCCCAGACCCGTCCAGAGCACGCAGGCCGGCGCGGGCACCTGGGAGCCTCGGGCCTGTGCTCCTGATGGGAAGGCCTGGTCCTCTCCCGCTAAAACACGAAGGTGGGCGCCGCTCGGGATCCCTCCACTCCTCGGGTCATTCCCACGCCTGAGACAGACCCTGGCCGTGGTGAGGTGAGGAGGCCTGACTGGGAGCGGCTGTTTCCGGGACCTGGCAGGCGGGCATATGCAGCGGGTGGAGCCCAGAGTGACCAACATGCCCGAGGGAGGGAACCTGCCCCCGGGGAGGGCACATGCCCGCGGGGAGGGAACCTGCCCCCAGGGAGGGCACATGCCTGTGGGAAGGGAACAGGGGGCAGCAGAGGCTCCAGGCTCTGAGCCTGAACCTCGGCCGGCCGCCTCCCAGGGGAAGACTGGAGAAGCAGCCTGGGTGGGCCTGGGGGTCTGTGGGCCCTCAAGGTCAAGGGGACAATGAAGCACCTGGGGGAGCCAGGCCTGGAGACGGAACCTCACACTGTGAAAGCCACAGGCTGGGTGAGACCACCAGGCGGTGTGGATGGGGTCCCGGGTCCCACCCAGATCCCAGCAAAGCCCCTCAGAGCCCAGCCCCAGCCTCTGCAGCTGCCCTGGGCTCACAGCCCCCCGAGCCTGGATGCAGCCCCCTCTCCTGGGACCCCAGCCCAGAGGCAGCACCAAGCCGACATGTCCAAGCTGTTCCCCTCACACCCCAGCTCACTCCAGGGAAGGGGGGGAGGGGCCAGGGCTCAAGGCACGGGTTCGACCAACCACTGCCTCCCTGTGCGGCCTCAAGGAACCGGTCAGCCTCCCTGTGCGTTCATTCCTGCCGTGGGCAGTGGGGACAGTAAGGGCAGCTGTGTCTCAGCCCCGGGAGGCCCACATAGACAGCACTGACAGTGGCGTCACACTCTCCTCCTCCTCATGCCTCAGTCCTGGGGCTCCTCCCCCCAATTCCCAGCCTGTCCTGTCAGCCTGCCCTGGACCCTGAGTGTCTCCCTCAGAGGGTCTGCCAGGCACCTGGCCCCCATCCCAGCCTCAGCCCCCCAGGCTCAGGCTCAGGCTCAGGCTCTCCTCCCCATGGCCACCAGAAGGCACGCTCTGAACAGGACAGATTGGCCCCAGAACTCCATGGGCACCAGGGTACATGCAACTCCTAGCCAGGCAGGGAGCCTCCTTCCCCGCCCAGCCACTCCCATCACCCTGAGCCCAGGCCCCAGGCCATGTCCCCCCACCCCTACACACACACACACACACACACACACACACACACACGGATCTGCCTCTTCCCAGCACAGTGGAGGCTACCTGGGCCAGGGGAGGGGCACCTCAGGCACACAGAGCCACAGGCTTCCTGCTGGCCCCAAGGTGACGGCTGTGGTGCAAGACAGAGCGTCCCCCACCCCCTGCCCGCACCCAGGGTGGCTTTTCCCAAGCCGGCAGACTGCAGAGAAATGCCAGGCCCCACACATCTGGGCGAGGCAGTCGTCCCTGCAGTGAGGGACCCCTGTGGGCGCCTGGGGCTTCTCGGGCACCAGGGCTCAGCCAGGGCCGGAGAGGGACAGGCCAGGGGGTCTGATGTCCACAATAAACTGCCACCATGCAGGCGTGGCTCTGTGAGGTCTGGGCTCCAGGAAGACTCCAGAAAGGAGGGCAGGCCCTCAGCTCAGTCTCTGGTCCCCACTCCGCCAGCTGAGCCCCACCCAACGGCGTCCCAGGGGCCCTGCCCGGTGACGGGCCGCAGCCTCCGGAAGCCCCAGGCCTGGGTGCGGGGGGTGGGAGGGAGAGGGGGAGGCTCCCACCACACTCCCCTCTGACCTCCAGCGGCCGCTCACCCCATTCTGGCTGTTGCAGTGCCGGGTGCTGATGATGACGCCCGCCTCCTCGATCATCTTCAGGATGGTCCCGCCGTGCACGTTGCCGGCCACGTTGGCGTCATCGGGCCGCATGATCCTGGGGGAGGGAGAGCAGGGAGAGGCCTCTGGGAGGGCGTCCTCTGAGCAATGACAGCCGCGGGGGGACAGCCCTCCACAGGGGACAGCCCTCCACAGGGGACAGCCCTCCACAGGGGGACAGCCCTCCACAGGGGACAGCCCTCCACAGGGGACAGCCCTCCACAGGGGGACAGGCCCTCCACAGGGGACAGCCCTCCACAGGGGACAGCCCTCCACAGGGGGACAGCCCTCCACAGGGGGACAGCCCTCCACAGGGGGACGGCCCTCCACAGGGGACAGCCCTCCACAGGGGGACGGCCCTCCACAGGGTACAGCCCTCCACAGAGGGACGGCCCTCCACAGGGGGACGGCCCTCCACAGGGGACAAGCCTCCACAGGGGGACAGCCCTCCACAGGGTACAGCCCTCCACAGGGTACAGCCCTCCACAGGGGGACAGCCCTCCACAGGGGACAGCCCTCCACAGGGGACAAGCCTCCACAGGGGGACAGCCCTCCACAGGGGCCGCCACTCCCAGAGGAGGAAGAGAACTCTGGGAGTTTGGTCACGGGCCAGGGAAGCGGCTGCGGGGTCCTGTTTCCATGGGAGAGAGGGGGCAGGGGGGCTGCCCCTGGAACACTGACCGGGAAGGGGTGGTGGTGGGACCTTTGAAAAGGCAGCGAGATGTTGGCACGGCCCCTCCTAGTCCCCATCCCCCAGCAGAGCTGAAGGGGCACAGGACACAGGCTGCAACCCCTCTGAAGACAAACAGACCTGGGGCCACCACCAGGGGGAGCCCTGAGGAGCAGCTCTGAGAAGTGAGAATGCAGCAGTCGGACGCTGCCCACAGCTGCCCCGGTGCCCACTGGCCCGCCCTCACCTCCCCCGGAGGACGGCACACCCTGGCCACGGCGGCCCAGGCAGGGAAGCTCCACGGAGCCTCCGAAACACCAACAACCATCGCTGGATGAGCGAGTAACACACATGTACACATAATGGAACAGCCATGAAAGGAGATGCTGCCATTTGCCACCACACGGACAGGCCTGGAGGGCATGACGCTGAGTGAGGTGAGTCAGAGAAGACAGGCCCTGAGTGATCTCACTCACATGGGAAACCTAAAAACTCTAAATCAAAGGAACAGAGCAGAGATTGGTAGTTGGGGGGGCGGATGGAAAATGGGTGAAGCATGCCCTCGTCTACCCTAGTCAAGTGGGCGCAGCCGGATGGAGGCTGGACCTGTCCATCAAAACTCCCCGTGCCCAGTGTGCTCTGATGCCGTGATGCCAGGGCAGGGGTGTATCTGACAGGTGTCTCCACCCATGATTAAACCTGGGGTGTCCAGCCGAAACCGGTTTGGCTCAATGGATAGAGCGTCGGCTTGGGGACTGAAGGGTCCCGGGTTCGATTCCGGTCAAGAGCATGTACCTTGGTTGCGGGCACATCCCCAGTAGGGGGTGTGCAAGAGGCAGCTGATCGATGACTCTCTCTCATCGATGTTTCTAACTCTCTATCTCTCTCCCTTCCTATCTGTACAAAATCAATAAAATATATATATTTTTAAAAATTTAAACCTGGGGTGTCCAAAGTCACTCTCTGCAAAGCAGATCATGGTTCGATTCCAGTCAAGGGCACATGCCTGGTTTGCAGGCTTAACTCCCAGTACGGACCGTACAGGAAGCAGCCAATCAATCATTCTCTCCCATTATTGATGTTTCCAGCTCTCTCTCCCTCTCCTTTCCTCTCTGAAATCAATCTACATATATAAAAGGCTAATATGCAAAGTGTCCCCTAGGGAGTTCACCTGGGAGACTGGGAATTGGATCGCTCGCTCCGAAGTACCAGGGGGCGGCGCAGAATGGAGGAAGGCCCCGGCCAGCAGCCGGAAGGCCCCAAAGAGCCCTGCTTGCTGCCTGGTTAGGGGCCCTATCTGTGCGTGCATTTCACACCGGGCTGCTAGCATATATCAAAAAGGACAGGCATGTAGACTAATGGAGCAGGACAGAGACCCTAGAAATTGGCCCACACTATTACAGTCAATTCATATTTGACAAAGGAGGCACGAACCTACAATGAAGTAAAGACAGAGTCTCTTCAACGAACGGTGCTGGGAAAACGGGACAGACACATACAAAGAGATGAAAACAGAGACCAACTTACACAAGAATGAACTCAAAATGGATAAAAGAGGAGCGTTGATATATGTTCCCAGCTAGGTTCAAATAAACTCATTACATTTTACTAAAAAAAAATAAGAATAAAAGACTTAGATGTAAGCCATGAAACCATAAAAACCCTAGAATAAAACACAGGGGTGAAATCTCAGATTGTCACATAGGAGAATTTTTGCTGATACCTCTCCTAGGGCAAGAGAAAAGAAAGAAAAAAGAAACAAATGGATGACAACAAAACACAAGGCTTCCGCCCGGCAAAAGCACCACCACCACAATGAAAAGGGAGCCCACAGTGTGGAAGGACATATTCCAACGACAGACTGATGAGGGGTTAATTTCCACATCATATAACATACTCATGCCACGCAACAATAGGACAAACACCCCAATAAAAATGGGCAGAGGACCTGCAGACACTTCTCCAAAGAGGATATTCAAATGGCCAAGAGACATATGCAAAAATGCTCAAAGTCACTGCTCATCGGAGAGATGCAAATTAAAACGACAATGAGGGATCACTCACACCTGTCAGAATGTCTATCCTCAACCAACGACAGTGCTGGCGAGGCTGTGGAGAAAGGGGAACCCTCGTGCACTGCTGGTGGGAATGCAGACAGGTGCAGCCGCTGTGGAGAACAGTATGGCGTTTCCTCAAGTTAAAAATGGAACTTCCTTTTAACCCAGCGATCCCACTTCTGGGCTATATCCTAAAACCCCAAAACTCCAGTCAGAAAGGATATGTGCACCCCTGTGCTCACAGCAGTGTTGTTCACAACAGCCAGGCTCTGGAACAGCCCGAGTGCCCATCAGCAGCTGAGCGGGTAAAAGCCGTGGGCCATTTGCACCACGGAACACTGCACAGCTGTCAACAAGAGGGCTCTCTTATCGTGGGGACAGCATGGAGGGACCTGGAGACTATTGTGCTGAGTGAAACAAGCCAGGCAGAGAAGGACAAAATACCCTTCATTTCACTTATATGTGGAATCTAATGAACAAAATAAATTGACCAATAAAGTAAGACCCGAAGCCAGGAGACATGGAACAGACTGACATACCTCAGTGTGGAGGTGGGGGCATGAGGAGAGATAAACTTATATACTTACCAGGGGCCTGGTGCCTGAAATTCGTGCACAGAGGGGTGTCCCTCAGCCGGGCCTGCACCCTCTCCAATCCAGGATCCCTAGGGCAATCCAGGACCACTGGTTCCTAACCACTTGCCTACCTGCCTGCCTGATCGCCCCTAACCACCTCTGCTTGCCAGCCTGATACCCCCTAACAGCTCCCCTGCTAGTCTCTCACCCCCTAACTGAGTCTCAGGCCACTGGGAAGGCACCATTCCTGGCTTGCCTGAGCCTCGGGCCAGCCCTGGGCGGCTGGGCAGCCACAATCCGCAGCTTGCCTGAGCTCGAAGCCACCATCCCTGGCTTCCATGAGCTTCGGGCCGGCCCTGGGCAGTGGCAGCCGCCACCTGCAGTTTCCTGAGCCTCAGGCAGCCATTGCGGCTTTGTCCGAAGGACTTCCAGAAGGTCTCCAGTCTAGTTAGCATATCACCCTTTTATTATATAGATATGCACAGCCCATGGGCTCGGGCAATAGGGGGGTGAAAACCTGGGGGTGGGTAGGGGCTGGGTGAAGGGAGGCAAAGGGGGGGAATGGGAGACATCTATAATACTGTTAGCAATAAAATATATATTAAATAAGCAAATAAAACAAAACTATTACTAAAAAAAGAAGGGGGGAATTTGGGCCACAGGGAGAAGGCCCTATGACAATGGAGGCAGCATCGGGCAGTGTGTCTGAGGAGTGGCGGGGCGTTGCCAGCCAGCCCTGCCAGCGCCTGGATTTGGGGCTCAGGGCCCCCAGATGAGAGCATGCATTCTACTGTTTTACCATACGTTACCGGTCTGTAATCGCGTTATGACACCCCCAAATTCACATAGCCTGTCCCTCTGCACCCCTGTTCCACACCAAAAGCAGCAGCCCGGGGCCTGGGTGAGCCCCGCTGGCCCCGAACCTCGGTGGCCGCTGCGCAGGGGCTGACCCCTGCCCGCCCCTCGCAGCTCCCTGGGCGCGGGCCAGCACTGCTCTGGCTGGGAAATGTCAGCGCTAAAATTAACACGGCTGTGAGCGCCATGGCAACGGGCGCGGGCCTGTTTATCCACAGAGAAGCGAGGGCATCCATCTGTCACAGGAGGGGCGGCAGCACAGCCCGCCGAGCGGGTGCATCTCAGCTTCCCAGCACCCCAAGCCGCGGCCGGGCCCTGAAGGTCAGGCGGGCCCCAGGGCACAGCTCCCAGGACTCCCCCGGATGGGATGGCGCTGGAGGCTCCCTGGTCCTGGCCCCTCGGAATTAGGCTCAAACCAGAGGCAACCACAGCCCCTCCGCCCCTCCCGGGGGGCACAGGAGGGCTGTGGAAGGCTCCCGGAGGCAGGCTCTGCACTGGGCCTGCAGAAGCGGGGAGGAGAAGCGGGGTGCCGCCCCGGCGGGAAAGGTGGGGGCAGAAGGGGCTCCCAGCAGACGGCTGACTTCGGGTCTGGAGGGCCAGGGCCAGGCCCACAGGGCACATCTCCCCACGGGGTCCGATGGGAACGGCACTGCTGTCCTCTCCACGTGGCCGCTCCGAAGGTTCCGGCAAAATCCCCTCAACCCCCCGAGACCCACCACCGGCCCCAGCAGAGGCAGGGCTGGGAACAAGCCTGGGTCCTCCGAGGCCCCCCCCCCCCCCCCCCCCCGGGCAGGGCCAGGAACCAGAGGCCCTGGGCCGAGGAAAGCAGCAGCCGCCCCGGCACAGCCATAGACCCGCCGGGTGACCACAGACAGTGAGACCAGGAAGACAGGCCGCTGCG